GTGCGTGTGCGTGCGTGTGCGTGTGTGTGTGTGTGGAGAATGGAAAAATGGGGAAAGCGAAAGAACGAAGATGACTTCCCTGGCGGAATGTCTAAGCGTGCTCTGTTGCGAACAAAAATAAAATGTCAGGCTAATTCCGTCCGTCGAAAAGGAACTCAAGAATTATCCAACGCGCGCACCTCTGTCTTTTTTTTATTTTTTAGATTTAATGTAAAACCAGAAAAATTGGTTTGCACAAGACCAGCAGATCAGAGTGCAAGAAGAGGCCCCAGTTTAACTGTCATTCGGCATTGTGCAGTCGCAGCTGCAAAATAACAGCCAGTCCGGCCGAGTCGGCCGAGCGCAGCACACGGCACACACACAACACAGAGCACACCCCGGCCGGCCAGCCTCGCCAGCCAGCCCGTTCCGAGAAGCCGGCCATCTTGGGCCTGGGCCGGCCGCAGCCTCACGCAACCTCTGGGAGCCGCCCTGCCTGCCCTGCCCCGCCATTGGCCGATCGGCGGGGCCCGGCCCGCTGCACTGGCTTCACGCACATGGCGCGCCCCGGCCCGCCAAAACTGTACAAAAACTTGCCGCGCCAACCGGAACTTTGGAAAGGCGGGAAATGGATAAACCCGCCGCGTCGACAGAATACCAATCGCGGAGGGAGGGTTGGTGTGTCGTGTGTCTGGAACACTCTTCTCACTGTGTGACGAGCGCGGGACTGTGGAACGTATACACCCCGCGTGGCGCCGCGTCGCGCGCACTGGAATAATTTAAAGGAGTACCGAAATGAAAGGCAGCGCGGGCCGCCCGCTCGCATTTTGTGATTGGCTGAATGCGGCATGACGGCCCTTGTTTATTTACAAGATTAATTGATGGAATCAGGTGGAATTGAGCCGCGAGGCGAGGTGCGGTGGGGTGGGGCGGGGCACCGTGCGGCCGCATTTATAATTATTTTCCCATCCCTGCCCGGGCCATGCTGGCTATGCTGGCTATGCTACGCTGTCGCGAAAGCGACCCACGGACGCACCACTGTCATATTATACGGGAGATGTATTACGACGGGCTGCTACCATGTCAAAATCGTCGCAGAAGAAGAATTTTCAAGAGTTTTTTTTGTCGCGTCGCGAGTCGATTGTAAAAAGATTCGTGAAGCAGGATTAAATTTATCTAACACCCCCACGTGCTCTCAAATCGAGTAAAAAACGCTGTTTCCATCCATGTGTTTCGGGTAAACTGCTGGCTCTCCTTTTCCCGCCGTGCACTTCGTGCTGCTTCCCCGCCGCGGCCGTTCGCACCACTGCCTACACGGTGGCTCCGCCGCTCGGCAGCCGGGCCAGGCCGGCCAGCCCGCTCATCAGCGCCGCCAATTGGATCAATGGCTGTTAGGGCCTCGGCTAGGGCCGCCTCCAGCCTGCAGTACAGTAATTGGGCTCAGGGCCGCTCCACTGCCTGCCCGTCTGTCCGTCCGTCTGTCTGTCTGTCTGTCCGTCCGTCTGTCCGTCTGCCCGCCTCCCTCCGGCGAGGGTTGGCGCCAGAGGCCCCAGTGGAAATCAGCGCGAGGATTACCGAGTCATCGCCCAGCAGAGCGACGCAGGGCAAGCAGCGCCAAACAGAGCGGAGCACCCTCCCCCCGGCCCTCCGGCCTCTGGAGTCCGACCGGCCGACAGCCACGGCGTGCCACGGCCCCACACACACCGGCCAGGCCGGCCACGGAGCCCCCGCTGACAGAGCCAAGTTAATAATTGTTTTTACACCCCCGCGCCAGGGCAGGGCTGGGCCGGGCCGCCCTGCTGGAGGACATGATCCACGATGATGTCCTCCCAGAGTGCCGGCCGAGAGCGGACCGCGGCGACGGACAGCGCCGCCCGCGAAGACCACGCGCGTGCAGCGGTGTGGCCACCCACGCTCACCTGTCGGGCTCACGTTGTCGACAGCGAGCAGGGCGGAGCAGGGCCTCGCGGCGGCCACACTGTCGGGGCCTACACTGCATGTCGGCTGAAGAGCCGAAGATGCGCGCGATCGCGTTTGTTTCTATTTCCGCCACGACGGCGGCGACGGCGGCGTGCCTTTCCTTTGCAGGCCCTGCACTGCCTGGCTCTGCCTGGCTCTGGCCCGCCGGGGGCCGCCAGCCCTACGACTATTAGTCATTCTACGCGGTGTGACGCCCCGCCCCGCCCCGCCCCGCCCCACAGCAGCCCGAACCCGGACGGGCGACGAGCTCTGCGACGGCGACGCGACGTCGTCCTTGCCGACGCATGCCGACGCACCAGGAATGTCTACCGCGGCGTCGGTACTCGAACCCCGGTCCAGGACGGAAGCGATCTTGTTTTGGTGGTTTTGGCGACCAATCGTGTCGATGGGATTAGCGGAGCGGAAGCCCCGTGTTCCTGTTCATCGACTTTGGTATACTTTTCAATTTTCGGGGAGTCCGTCGTTGGCCAAGAGTTCTGAGTTCATTCCACATCCGGCGTAAGGTGGGCGGCGGGAGACTGTCACAGCGAACGGTGATGAATTCATTCATGTCCCGATGGCGTGGACGGCGACCTACCCCAGCGATCGCCGAGTAGTAGTACTAATGAGATAGATCGTGAGCTAAACACGCTGAGCTAACTTGCCAGGCATTTATGTCCTTCCCTGCAAGGGGTATTTTTTTTTTTTCAGTTTAAAATCAGAGACTGCACTGTTGAAGCTATTCACTGCTCTAGGCTAGCGCGGGCGCGCGCGCACACACACACGCACACACACACACACACATGCCCGCACACACTACTCCACCAGGGCGACGAGCAACGCCAGCAGGGCCCGGAGGCATCCGGCTCCCGAAAGAAGACGGAGGGGAAGAGAGACGGGTGGAAAGACGAAGAAAAGGAAAAAATATAAAAGAGGGAAAACTAGACGTTGATTTCATTAATCATGTTGTGTTGAGCCGAGCGGCAGCGGAGCGGAGGGCTGCTGGAAGCACGCTGGAAGCTGCGCTGGAAGCTGGGGCTGGCTGCCGTAAGGCTGCCGGACCGGGGAAGGCCGGACAGCCGAGGCTGGCAGCCAGGGCACAATGTGAGTGGAGGGGCAGCAGGTGCCTTGTGCAAAACACCATAAAACACCCAAAACTCTCAGTTTTACTGCCCTTGAACTCTGTTGCTTTGCCTCGAGGCTCCTCAAACCTTCGTATTTTCTGCAAATGTGTGCCGCCAATCGTAGGACCCCTGCCTGCCGACGCGCTTGGACGCGCCGACGCCCCAATGAGTTGACCATGGCCACAGAGCAAAGCGACTGTGTCACTTGAGAAACCAAGAGCCGCGGACGGTGTCCGGTGTCGACCGGCGAGTTGCTTGACGGTGTAGGCTCGTGGCGTTTTTACGGCTCGCTCGTCAGCGCTGCTCGCCGCATGCGTGGAACCGCATTGTCGCACGGAGGACGCGCGGAGGCGCGACCAATCGACCAATTGCAACGCCAATGGGAATAAAGGTCGGACGGGCCGCCTTTGCGCCGCTTTGCGCTGCCCGGGTCACCATTGGCGCCAAATTCGCCAAAAGTGGCCGGAGTCGAGCCGGAACCGGGCAGATGCCATGAACCGCGAGGACTCGGGGCTCTTCGTTTTCTGGTCAGAGTATAGTGGCGCTACGCCCGCGATTTGACAGTACCATGGACAACTCGTAGTTCCAAGGGTGGCCACCACGCCGGGGCAGGCGGCGCTGAGCTTTGCCGTCGAACCCCTATCCATCCCCGTGCCGGCGTAGCTTCGCGTAGCTACCCCCGCCCGATAGCGATCTCCGCGGCGCCGTGGCCGCCGCGACGCCGGCGTCGGTGCGCGAGGCGCCCTCTGCGCGGCGGGGCGTCGAAGCGCGCACGCCGCGCTGCCGCTGGAGGCGGCTAGTCGCGGCGGCGACCGCCAGGCGGCGCCACCGATCGAATCGCGGCGTCGCGGCGCGTCTCCGCGCACGGTCGCCGCGCCGGAGGCTGCCGCCCGCCGCCGTCATTTGGACGCGCTGTCTGTCTCGCTCCCGTGCGCGAGGCCCTTGGCGAGGCCCTGTGTGCGCGACGGAGACAGCGACGAAAGCCCTTCGGAATGAGCGAGGCGTCTGGCACGCTGGTAGGAACGACCCTCGACGCCCGGCTCGCTGGGCGCAAGGCGCTGGCCAGGCGCTGCTAAGGGTTGCGTGTGACGCGTCCCGCCATTTCAAAGGGATTCCACGGCGGCCTGCCCGACGGCTGCCCTGCCCAGTGCCCGGCCCATCGCGCGCAGCGGCACTCGTCTTTCTGCAATCGATATTGAAATGCCGCCCCTCTATCGGCCAGGGCGTGCCTGGGGTGTGCATGGGAGGGCATAATATGGGATGGCATGGGACGGCATGGGATCCCCGACAGTGGTACTTGTCCGACAGCTGGCCGCGAATGCGAGACGAGACACGGCCCCTGATAAAACGGCTGCGTCCTTGGCGTCTGAAAGGCAAGCAAATGATCGCCATTAGGGTCCCCTACGTGGGGTGCCGTCCCGGCCCGCCCCGGCCCGCCCCGGCCCGCTCCCGCCATGAGAGCGAGCGAGACAGACACTGGAAGCCTTTCGCGCTGCCGCCGTCTCGCGAGAGACGCCGCCAAAGACGCATGCCAACAAACACCTCCACGATCGAGCACAGTTTGATGAACTGGGCTCCATTTTTCGGCATTTTGTTGGGGAAGGCTGTGACGCGCCCTCCGAGGCGGCGGTCGAATATGCCCCTATTTGTCTGGGCCCTGGCAGCCCCGGAGGCCCTGGCAGGGCTGGCAGACAGGGATCAATCAGCCTGTCATCCCCGGCCGCGTCCACACAGTGCTCACAGAGCTCACGGTCCTCACAGTCTTCACAGTGGGGCGCGCAGCAAGGCCGGAGGGAACTCCTCGTATTTTGACTGCAAAGCGACGGTGATGTATGTGGGCTCTTTGATTGGCCGGCCCGACTTTTGAGTCACTCATTTCTCCTCAATTTGTATCTCCGAAGCAAACAGGGCTAAAACTGCCGGCTGACTGGCGTGGGCTCGTTTCTGTTATTCTGTATTGATGTATGCGAGGAGGACCGACTGGGCTCATGATCTAGACACCCCGTGTCGATGCTTGGGGTGCCGCTCTCGTCTCCAATAAGGTGGTTCCCCACAAAAGTCAAGTCTCCTCTGCAGCGCGCCCGGGCGGCAGGCAACCCATCCGGCCCGGCGGTCGCGCTGGCTGCCCGCCGTCGCCCCGTCAGGCGCTCGGCGTGGAGCGCAGGGGCGCGCCTCACTCCTCGTGCACCATGTTGGGGCCCTCGCGCGCCGTCTTCGAGTTCAGCCAGGCCTGCAGCTTCCGCTTCGTCTTCTTCATCTCCTTCTCCTCCGCGGCCGGACTGCCCGAGTAGCCTCGCGGAATGAATCCTGGAACACCGGCACATCACTTTGTATATCGATTGCGTCACTTGTATCGATTGCTTGAATTCATCGACTTATCGATTCATTGATTGCAACACCATCTGGCAGCTGGCGCGAGCTGGCGCTAGCGATGGAGAATTCGGGACCCACCTGTCTTCTCCCGGATGTGCCTGGCGTGGGCCAGCACGGGCTGATGGACGTACTTGTGCTGATCGCGTGCCGTGATAAAGTCCCCGTGGTTGAACAGTTTGAACGGGACCTGGTGCAGGGCCGGCGGGCTGGCCCGGAACAGCTTGCTGAACGCCACCACGTCCTGCGATGCGTGATTACAGATTACAGGCCCTCTTGCCTGAAATCAACTGCGGAGCAAAAAAAGGGGGGGGGGAATCGCACCTCGGGCACGGTGAGGACGTCGCCCGCGCCGTACATGAAGGTGGCGGGCACCGTGACGCGACTCATGTCGTACTCCGGGGCCGTCGTCGAGTTGTACAGCTCCTGGTTGGCCGTGCCGAAGTCGAACCGGCGGAAAGACTCATCTGCAACCTCGCCAAGCTCAAGCTCCTTCCGTCCGCCTGGCTGCTCGTCGGCTTCCTAGGGAGGGGTACTGACTTGCCGCGGCGATCTGCCCGTAGTGGACCACCTGCCTGACGGAGAAGTCCCCCGGGAGGTACGCGCCGGTGATCTCGGCCTGGCCCTGGGAGTGAACGCCACATTAAGACGCTTGCGTCTCACCGAGCGGAGCGTGATCCACTCACCTCGAAGCTCTGCTTCTCGTCGGAGCCGAAAGTGTCGAAGAAGAAGTTCTGCTTGCAGGTGTCCTTGAAGATGGCGCAGAGCGCGGCCCGCGGCGTCGACAGCAGCGGCGTCTCGGATGAAAAGTGCGTCAGCCCCAGACTGTCCCAAAGTTCCTGGAAGCAAACAAAAGTGTGGCCGCCTCCCCTCCTTCTTTCCCCGCCCATCCAACTTGCGCCATAAAGCCGACACCCGCGTGTCTCATTGATAACTTGGATCAGTTTCCTCCGGGTTCATCCTTTTTGTTTTGCTCCGTGCAACTCGCTGCACAACTCACCACCGTCTGGGCCAGCTTGTTCTTGAAGTCAACCACGCTGGGGTTCTTGACCCGGCCCATGAAGCCTGTCGGCGCCAGGGCGAAGTGGTGGCGGATCCTGCTGTCGTACTCGGGCCTCACTGCGTTCATCACGAACATGATGGTGTTGCCCATGGAGTGCCCGGCGTACCAGGTCTGCTTGAAGTTGGTGGCGTTGAGCACGAAGTCCACGATGTTGGGCAGGTCGACCGCGCCCTGGTCGTGCCACCTGGCCGCCGTCAGAAGACACGCTCTAACAAACATCCCTGTCGGATTTCTGTTTCGCACTAAAAGTGGAGGCGATACTGACGAGAAGTCCCAGAACTCGTCGGAGTCGGCGGCGTGCTGGACGTGCTTCTTGCCGTACTTGCTGCCCCTGCCGCTGGCCAGCCACACGTCGAAGCCCGCGTCCGCCAGGGCGTACGCTGCCGGCCAGAGGAGTTATTGAAACGCTAAAACGCCAAAGCTGTGCGGTGTCTCCAACGGGCCCTTGCTGTTGCTCACCCAGACTCTTGCCCGGCCCGAACATGACCCACTCCGCCGCGTTGCCGGCCATGCCGTGGTGCAGGATGAAGGGCTCCAGGGCGGGCGGCTCGGCCGTCGAGGCCTTGCGCTTGCCCTTCTGGCCCTCGTCCTGGGCGGGGCCCTTGATCCTGGAAAAGCGAACCGCAGCAAGGGCGTCCTCCACTCCATTGCCATTTTTGAAAACGGCGTGTTCGCTATGATCTGACTCCGCCTCACCTGAACAAGGTCAGCAGGTACCCATCGCTATCCACCTCGTGTTCCTCCGTGGGGTAGCCGTAGCTGGCGGCGAGGGCGGACTGCATCCGGAACGCCAATTAGGAATTAGAATCGGTCTGAGATGTAGTGTTCCAGTGCACTGTGTAGTGACGGGTGTACCGGCGTGGGTGGCTCCTCCCCGAACAGGTACGGCGGCGTCACGATGAGGGGCTCCAGCGCGGTGCCGTCCTCCAGGGCGGCGCAGAGGAGCGCCACGAGGACGCCGACGACGGAGCTGCTGGAGGTCATGGTGGGACTGCGCCAGACTGCGCCAGGCCGCGCAGGCACACTGTACGGCTGGAAGCCGAATCCGTGCCTCGTCCCAGCGAGCGATGCGATCAGCGGTGACGTCAACTCAGTTCGGATCAGAGAGAGATTGGCCGCCGCCGAGCAGCCCGGGGAGCACGCACGCCAGCAACGCCAGCAACGCGGCCCGGTGCATCCAGGTCCCTGCTGTTCTGTTCCGGTTTTTGGCTCCAAAGACTCTGCGCTGGGCCCCGATAGCCTTCAAGTTGTTGCATCGACAATGCGAGATAGAGACGTGCGGCGCGAGTGTGGTCTGTTCGCGGTGAGCGTTGTTGCTTTATTTCACGATTTGCCGGACGTGAAGCCACGCCAAGGCTGCTAGTTGAACCCCTAACTTGAAACTTGAAACCTTCGCCGTGATTGCGATAGTAAATCAGCTGTCCCTCAGGCACCACGTGTTGCCTAGCACGCGGGCGCTTTCCCAGCGCGCGTGGCGCACGAATAGGATGTAGGATGGGTTGCCTGCCTCCACGGCGGTGTCGGTGATCAGGCAGAAAGAAATCCCTGCGTGGGGCCGGGGCTGGCCGGGGAGGCAAGCCGGGCGGGCGCGCTGGGGCCCTCTGTGGGGTGGCGGCGGACCAGCCTGGGGCATGCTGGGGCCAAAGGTCAAAGGGCGGTGAAACGCGCAAGGTGGGGTGAAACGTCAAAGCGCCGCCAGTCCGCGCCGTGCCGTGGGCATGCCCACCGCGCCGTGCCCACCGCGCCGTGCCCACCGCGCCGTGCCCACCGCCCGCGCCGCGGCCTCATCATTCTTTCCCTCGCTAAACTCCCGCCTCTTTCTTCCACGGCATTGCTCGCCGACGGGAACAAAGGTCGGACGCGCCCACGCGAAATAAAGTTTATCCAGTCCGTGCGTCTGTCGGCTTGTCTGTCTGTTTGCCTGTCCACCTGTCCGTTTGCCCGGCCCTGCCCGTCCAGACCGTGCGTCGCCTGCCGCTGCGCCGCGCTCCGCCGCCGCCGCCGTCCTGGAGTGAACTTTGAACCCTGCGGGCCGGGCGGGCCGGGCCCTACAGGGACGAGGGGAAGAGGGAGGCTGCGAGCCAGCCCGGTGGCACTGAAGCCTTGGCGGCGCGTAGCGGCGCGGCGCCTTGGGTCGATATGGTACAGACGGGGTGGGGCGAGGGTGACGAGGGAGCGATTCGCGGTGAAAGGAAGTCCATGCAGGGCTGCGTGTCTGTCCGTCCGTCTGTCTGTCTGTCTGTCTGTCTGGCGTGCTGGCCGCAGCACCGAGTACATTGTGCAGGCCGGCCTTCCCGTTTCACTTTGCGCGTGTGTCATTACCCCCACGCCACGCCGTGCCGAGCCCTGCCTTGCCGGCCGTCATCTGCCGTGCCGTGCCGTGCCGTGCCTGCCCTGCCCTCGGAGGGCTCTAACCAGTTTAAACACCCCTCGGCAGCGCAGCAGCGCCCCGCTCACGCTCCGGTCGGAACCGGCTTGGCGGGGGAGGCAGAGCGAGGCATGGCGAGGCATGGCGAGGCAGAGCGAGGCAGAGCGAGGCATGGCGAGGCAGAGCGAGGCAGAGCGAGGCAGAGCGAGGCAGCGCGGCGGGCGGCTGGCAGACACCCTTGCCTGCCTGGCCGGCACTCCGGAGCAACCTGATCGGCCCTCCCTCCCCGTTCACGCCCCCAGCCTCTCCCCGTTCGCACCGCGGTTTGCGAGGGGGTAGTTCTCTTTGTTCTGCGTGTGCCCCACGGCCCCACCCCTGCAGGCCCAGCCCGCCACACCCAGAGCCGCCCAGAGCGCCGCGTGCGCCGAGTGCGCCGCGCCCCGGGCGCTGCTGAGCGCCTGTCCTTGAACTTGATGAACCCGCTCGCCGAGCCTCGCCGCCCCGATGCTGCTTGATGCGAAGCGCAAGCACAGCCTGGCACAGCCGCACAACACAAGACTGCCTCAGGGCTCACTCGCCCTCTCTCTCCCGTGCACCCCGTCCTTTCACCCGCAAGCGCTTCGCTCGGCAATCGTCAGCGGAGAGAGTCCGAACGTCGCTTTCGAGCCTCTGCCTCTCTCGCACTCGTTCCTTCCGTGGGAGCGACAGAGAGCGACGAAGGACGAAACGCTATGAGCGCAATCCAGCCAAATTATCGAGTGTGTCGTTCCCCGTGTTTGACTCGCGCCACCCGTGTGTGTTCAGGCTGGTTGCCCCCGGCACACCCGAAAGGTGTTGGCCGACGGCGACGTCAAGCAGAGTACACGCAAAGTCCGCATGTGGGCGCCACCGTCGCGACGTGTGTCGGGTGACTCGGGGCGAACACTGCGCGAAAGAGTAAAATGGAGTCGTCGAAAATTGGCAGTGAGATGACTGTGATTCCTAGTGTTTAATTTAACTCAAAACAGAACCACTAGATAGATTCAACAAAAATGCACCAACTAGCTTTTTTCGACAATTCCGTTTTACTTTTTTGATAGTGCGCAAGGCGAAAATTGAAGAATCAAGGCACAAGAGTACAAAACCATAAGAGCAAAACATAAACCAAACACTCAACTGTTCACCGTTCATAGGTGAGGTCAGGAAGTATAATTCGACACACAACAATTATTCTACAATAAGGAGTTGAGAAGAGAAAGAGAGATAGAAAGAGAAAGGGAGAGAGGGGGAAAGAGAAAGAGAGCAAAGCAGTGGAAGTCGGCGGCGTCTTCGAGTCGTCCGGCGGGAGGGTGAACGAAGCAGAAGCGAGGTCTATCATCCGTGAGATACCTGTAGAGTCGAGCTTCTGATATCTACTGATTTCTACAAAAGCCCGGATCTACAGGGTAGATCACGAATGTGCCCTGTGTCGGTGACCCAGGTGTGGCGTGGTCGTCGCACGGTCGTCGCGGGGGCGTCGCGGCGTCGTCCGGGGTGAGCGGGCAGAGCGCACGCTGTCCCGGTTGCCCGAGCTCGTTCTGCCAAAGGGCTGCCGGCTGCCCTGTCGCTGCGCCCTGGCAGCCCTGGCAGCCCTGGCAGCTCGGCGCGGTGGAGGGTGGAGGGTGGGGAGGCCTGGCTCAGCCTCCGACAACCCCGCCACGCCCCGTCCAGCCGCCAGCGGCACGCCCTACGCAGCCCTGCGCGGCCCAGCGCGGCAAGCCCAGCGTCGCTCAAGGTCGTTCACCCATGACCTCTCCCACACAGGCCCAGCAGGCCCAGCGCTCCGCCCTAAGGACTGCCTGCGGGTGCTTCCCTCAGGGCTCGTCCTGAGGGCGGAGGCACTCGGCCTGAACGAGGCCCTCGAGGAGCTGGCGGGCGCGCCGGCTGCGGCCGGACTGACGGCGAGCTCGGTTCAGCGCGGCTACCGGCTCCGGCCCGACCGAGCCGAGCCGATCCTGGAGAAGAAGTTGACGAAGGACTCACCGCTGTTCTCGACGGGGGCCTGTGGCGATGTCCAGGGGCGCCTCCCTGGAGCGGGCACTGGAGCGGGCACTGGAGCCTGGCCCGGCTGGACCCCAGCTGGAGCCTGGAGCCTGGAGCCAAGCTACCGGCATGTGCGCAGCTTCCAAGCCGAGTGGAAAGGCGGCGCGCGCGCCACGCCCGCAACCCGACCGCCCTTCGCCTGCCTCCGCCGCGGGGTGGAGGGGGATTTCCCATGATGCTTGGCGCCGCGCGGGGGCGGCGCGGGGCGGGCGGCGGGGGCGGCGCGGGACGGGGGGAGGGGGAGGTTGGGGCAGAGCAACATGATGATCAATAAGCAGGAAACAATGACAACAACAACAACAGGTGCAGAGTGACACACGGGGAGTGCAAGGGGGATGGCGATGTGGCTTACACACACACACACACACACACACACACTCACTCACGATGTGCAAGGGGCAAGGGCAGGACTGGCAGGTCTGGAGCCCGGCCAGGACGCGAGTCGCCGGTACTCGACCCGCCGCGCCTCCGTTACCAACAAACAGGCAGAGTGCGGCGCGCCGAGGCGCTTGACGGCGTGGACCCGAGCTCGGCAGGGCGGCGTCCTGGTGGCGGCCTGGAGGCGGCCCGGCGACGGCGCCGCGGTGCCAAGAACCACGCCGAGGCCGAGGCCGCCGAGGCTGCTCGGCGCCGCTGTGGAATGATCCTGGCTGGAGGCTGCCTGGACCGCGGCCCGCGCCGAGCCACGGCCCAGCCGCGCGCAAGGACACCGCGGCCGTCGCCGTCGCACCGCGTCGCGCAGCATCGCGCCGTCCTCGTCGCCAATATCGAGCGGCCGAGCGGAGGGGCGTTCGGCCGCGCTCGGCCGCGTTCGGCGGGGCTTCGGGGGGCGGCGGAAAAACCCGAACGCACCGCACGTCCCCGGCCGCCTCTCGCCTCCTCCTCTCCCCGCCCGGGACAGCGAGGCACAGCGAGGCACAGCGAGGCACAGCGAGGCACAGCGAGGCACGGGGACGCAGCACAGCGAGCTACCCTTGAGGGCTCCGGTGGGGTGGGCGCGGCTCTCCCTTTCTCCATGACCTCCCTCCCTTCCCCTCCCCTCCCTTCCCCTCGCCCCTGCCTTGCCCTTCCTCTCATGACTCGCGGCCGGGCACTGCCCTGGCACTGTCCTGGCGCTGGCCCGCGACCGCCCGGGCCAGCGACTCTTTGTCTGGCATGGTGACGAGACTCGGATATGCCATCACGAGCGCGCGCACACACACACAACTACACGGGTACAAACACGCACTCACGTACACGGACAGGCCTGTGAAAGGGAGGCGTGGTGTGTGAATGCGCTGGATTAGCATAGAGATGTCCCCGTCCGCCCCGCCCCGCTACAGCTCCGCTACGCCGCTGCTCGGCGCGCAGAGTTTGCCCATCTGGAGTCCGCTGCTTCAACATGTCATACTCGTGCACCGGTAAATGGAAAATGGCTGAAATAGTTTCCAGTTCGGCAGTGTGCCTCTGGCGGCGCCCATTCAACGCCAGTCACCCCACCACTGGACAAGTAGTCCCTCCGGCCCACCTGTTCGCTTCCCAGGCCCCAGTCCGGCAGCATGCTGCACGGCGCAGTCCGGCTCCTCAACCTCGGTTCGAGGCTC